AGAACCAGAATGCATTGGATTTAATGTTCTCTATTGCACCGTCATGTCCACAATTAGTGGAATTATATGTGAATATTAGAAATATGACGAATGTCCCATTTGACCTTGATGGTGAACATGATATCCCTCTTGAATCATTGGATCTCGAGGGACCCAGCTAATGTTTTGACCATAGTCAATATCTTGATCCCGAACCTGAGTTAGTTGTACCTCCAACGACTAATTTAGATGAAGATACAGACTTAACTGCTAATAATAGGTTTATAGAACTCAGGATAGCGACAGATGATGAGTTTGATGAATTGGAACTCGATGGTGAACATGAGATCCCTTCTCAAATATTTGACATGGACAGTGTTAACAGTATTGCATAACACGAGTCCATGTTGCGACCAGTGACAGTTGAAAATGATATGTTGTACAAGGGGTTCATGTGTAATGATAAAAGAACTATGCAACATATCGTCAAACGTTTTGCTGTAAAGAGTCACCACCCTTATGAAGTTGTAGAGTCGACACCATCTATATGGGCAGTTAGATGTAAGAAGTGGCAAGATGGATGCAATTCGCGACTTCGTGCGATTCTTAAGAAAGGTATTAACTTATGGGAGATTACAAAGTATGTGGACCAACATTCTTGCGTATATTCAGAATTTAATCAAAGTCATTGTCAATTGGATTCAAATATGATAAGTAGAGAATTTTGTGATGTAGTGTGAGCTAATCCTTCTACGAGTATTACGACACTTCAAGATCTGATCAAGGAAAAATTTGGATATCATGTTCCTTATGGGAGGGTCTGGGAAGGAAAAACAAAAGGTTTGGCTCGTATTTTTGGTAATTGGGATGAGTCATATCAACTTTTGCCAAAGTGGATGTATATGCTGAAACACACTAATCCAGGAACAATCGTTGAATGGAAAATTAGGAACTATGGACAACCGGGTCATGGCATTCTTCATTCTTTATTTTGGTCATTCAGTCCTTGCATTGCAGCCTTTCAAAAGTTTCGCCCCATGCTTCAAATAGATGGTACTCACCTTTACATAAAATATAAGGGGAAGCTATTGATTGCAACATCAGTCGATTCAAATGGACATTTATTACCTCTTGCTTTTGCCATTGTAGACGAAGAGAGTCGTCAGACCTGGGGATGGTTTTTTAAAAACCTAAGAAAAGTTGTTACACATGAAGAGATATGTTTAATTTCAGATCGACATGGTGGTATTATCTYTGCGGTCAATAATCTAGATAATGGTTGGACCGGACCTAAATCGCATCACAGATTCTGTCTACGACATGTTTCTAGCAACTCCAACCATAAATACAAGTGTACCGAATTGAAAGATTTGGTATATCGTGCCGGTGCTCAATTCCAAATTCGAAAGTATAACAAGGAGGTGGAAAATATTAAATTACTGAATAGCTCTTGTATGAATTTCTTCCGCAACATTGAGATTGAGAAGTGGACCCTATCACATGATGGTGGATGTAGATATGAGTGGGCGACAACTAATCTTTCCGAATGTATTAATGGGGTGCTGAAAAGAGCTCGGATGTTACCCATCACTGCCTTGGTAGAACTTACAGTCTACCGATGCGTAAAATATTTCGAGAAGCGGAGGGAGGAGACAAGAGATGCTTTAAGTAGAAACGAAAAATACACCAGGTATTTTTTAATGCGTTGTTTACTGTCCTTGCATTATGTCAATGTTGTTAACTTACATTATCAAGTTTAACAGGTATGCTTACGATAAGCTTGTTAGATGGGCAGCGAGATCCACCAAACACACTGTAGTCAGTTATGATCGAGTCGTAGGTGTGTTTCATGTGAAAACAGGGCTTCACTATTACAATTCGAAAGGAGGGAACACACAAATAATGAGAATTACTGCCGAAGAATGTTCATGTACATGCAACAAGTGGCAAACGTATGGCATGCCATGTTCTTATTTAATGACAGTTTGTTCACACTTAAACTTTAACTACGAGGACTACATTGAGGATCCTTACAAGCTTTCAAGGTATGCTGAGGCTTACACTCCTCAATTTCAGCTAATCCCACATGAAGATTATTGGATCGCTCACCCAAACTTACCTATATTGCACCCTGATCTAACATTATTGAGATTGCCTGGAAGACCAAGGAGCTCGCGTATTCATAACGAGATGGATTTGAGAGAACCAAGTGTTCAACAAAGATACGGGCTTTGTAATCAACTTGGTCACAATCAAAGAAGTTGTCCCTCGAGACGACGGGAAGCACCTTCTTAGATGTTGATGTAATTGAAAACTTTAGTTTGAATCATTTATGTTAGTTTAATTGTCGATGTAATTGAAAACTCTATGTGATTGTACCTTTAATTTAATTGATACTCTGTGTTGTGACTATTGTTTTAAAATTTAAATTTAATTTTCCAACTAATGATTATCTATCGTATTAGATTATGAAATTAAACCCAGGTCCAATCGATTGATCTGTATTGTATGACCAAACTCGACATCGATCAGAGCTAGTTTGGCAAGGTCAGTGTAACGAGGAGTTGCACTGCCAATGTAGAGAGGCGATATTTGATCGCACCATCCCATTGCATCCTTTAATTGAACCTGCATTACGCGTTTCTGGATTTTACGGATTCGCCATATTGGGATTCATCCAATTAGATTAGCATTTCATTACTGCACTTGTGGAACGGTGGAGGTTAGAGACTCATACATTCCACATGCCTGATGGAGAGTGTATTATCACTCTACAAGATGTAGCGGTGCAACTTGGGTTACCAGTAGATGGCGAGCCTGTTATTGGTCGCGTCGATTATGTTTGGAGAGGCACTTGTCAAGCATTACTTGGGGTGACTCTAGGTGCTGCATACATCAGAGGCTCTAGGCTGAGTCTACCTTGGCTAGCTTCTTAATTTCGTAATCTAGCCGACGATGCTAATGAGGAAACCATTGTCAGATACGCTCGTGCCTATATTATGCAGCTTATCGGTGGTAGTATATTCGCCGATAAGTCTAACAACTTGGTGCATTTAATGTTCCTCCCACTATTAGCAGATTTCGAGGTAGCTAGACGTTTCAGTTGGGGTGGAGCATGTTTGGCATAGTTGTATCGAAATCTGTGCAAAGCGTGTCGCTCTGACTCACGTGACATTGCCGGTCCAATTATACTTCTTCAAGTATGGGCTTGGGATCGATTCCCCACGATGGCTCCACAGCGTCGTCACATCTCAGATCACGAGCTCGTGGGTCGACCATTAGCTGCCCGGTATGTCGATATAAATATTGTCCTATTTTTCTCTTAAAATTTTTTTACGCATTCAATTGTTGTACTAACCTATAATATTATTGTATATGGAGAGATCAATTTTGTGTTACAGAAATATCTACACATGTTTTGATCCAGTACAAATACATGTTGGACCTCGTCACCAGGCTCGGTACGTTTTTTAAATGTTAGAATATAAAAATATATATTGATTTATAATTAATTACACGATTTTTTATTACAAATTCAGATGATATGGAAGCCATATGATAAGGAATTTGCAAGCCTACTCGACTTTTGTGTCAATGGACATAACGTCTGGTGGACTGTGAGTCCACTCATATGCTTACATATTGTGGAGTGGCATCATCCTGATAGAGTTACAAGACAATTTGGTATGAAACAAGCAATTCCAGAAGTGGCATGCTGGGATAAGAGGATACATGACATCGACATTCGGGATAGCACATGGCAGGATCAGATTGCACATTTTGTAGCGAGGTGGAACATACGTAGAGATTTTCTTGTTATCAATCATCCAGTTGACGACAGCGGTGCTTGCGATCCAGGATACATGAGCTGGTATATGTTAATCACCAGACGATATATAACTCGAGAAGGAGCAACATTTGGTGCTACGATACAATCTTTTATTTCGTTATAACAATTATTCAAATTAATAAATATATATTTATTAATTTTTTTCCATGTAGGCTGCGTGTTTCCAGCAAATCAGTATTTTCTCGTCATCAGACGAAATTAATACGTTGTGCAACGTTGGCGGGAGGCATCTTTAGAGCCTTCATCAAATGTACAAAGTACCTACTCCTGCTCGTGGCCCTAGGTGTAGAGGATGACGTCAAGTAGATCAAGATGCTTCAGTAGGGCTTGACGATCTCGTACCTGAAGTTATCTATCATAAGGTTGAAGACATTCCACCATTTACATAGACACAGAATGATGTTGGTCCGTCCACGCCTATGGTCATGATACCGACTCCTGGTTCTAGTCAGTATCACACACCATCTTTGCCGCCGCAGTATGGCTATGGAGGGGGCCATGGACGTAGACGTGGAGAACATGGACAATACTTCAACCCTACGGAGGGTCGAGACCCTACAGAGAGTCATGAGACACCAGCGGCACCACTAGTTCGTCGTCAGCCACATCGTAACGTCCCCATTGTGGAACGGATTAGATCGATAAACTGTAAATTGACAGACTTCAAACATTGTTCTCTAATTTATAATATTAATTTCCAATTTTGAACTAACATGGATAACTTCATGATTATATAAGAAAAAATAAACATAAGGTTTGTAAACAACCACGATAAGCGACAGACTTCAATTTATAATATTAAAAATTGGAAAGCTATTTAATTGGTAAGTGATTGAATGGAGAGATTTATTATATTAAATATTAAAAACCACATTATATATTAATATTAAAAACCAAAATATTGGATAACCTTATGTTAAAATTGGAAAGCGACATACTTCAATTTTTAATTTATAATATTAAAAAAACCTTATGTTTATTGGAAAGCTATATAATAAAAAAGATTAATGTGGTCGTCACCACGGTTAAAAAAAAGAGAGAGACGACCATGTGGGATCCTTCACTTTTTTAAAACAACTATATTTTTAAAAAAAGTTTCAAAACATACCATATTTTAAATTTTTTTTAATTAAATTACAATATTTTTAAAATAAGTTTTATTTATAACTATATTAATAAAAAAGACCCCTATTTTAGCCCCTAAAATTTAAGATTTATTCCATCTTGGTATTTCAACTTTTGGGATATCTACTATTTTGGTCATTACGTTCATTTGGATTTTAACAAGCTAATAACACAACTTCAAGCAAGAATGTAATATATTAACATGAGCATCTATTCGAATAAAGTACGTTAAAAATAAGTAATGAAAGTTCATGGACCAAGACAATTAGTTTTTTTCAAAAGATATTAAATAGATATTTTAAAAGTTAAGGAACTCAAAGTAGAACAAAAGCGAGTAAATCGAAATTTAAACCAAAAATTAATTGGAAGCTTCTACTTGAAAATTAAGCCGAAATAGAATGTTCTAAAAAAAGAACAATAATTAAAGTACTACATTGGGAACTCTGGATAATAATTGGTGAAAAAGGCCTCAAAATTGATCGACGGCTGAGGATGAGAAGCGTGGAGATCTATTTCGAATATGAGCCGTTGGATTCCATGCGTGTTGAGTGCGTGTTTGGTCCGCGTTTTCAGCGCGTAAAACGACGCCATCAATTTCATTTTGCTAAAGAAAAAAAAGCGTTTAGAGAAAGACAAAAAAGTTTTAAATCCTATTTTTTTATAATTAAATTTGTAAATATTTCTTTTTAGTCCTCTAATTCTTTTATAAAATAAATTAATTTAGTGATGGTCATTAATTTTGCGTAAATTATTTAATCTAAATTTAAAATTATTTGAAATCCAATTTATATATTTCTTGCTTTTTTTACTTAAGGGAACGAGGAATTCTCAACGAAAAAAGTGCTCTCTGAACCGAACGTGAAAGTCGTTTTCCATCAAACGGCTGTTTCTGTAACTCCACTCTCGACTTGGATTATATATCCAAAAAGGTCCGCTCTCGGCCATTCCACACGCTGCCACGCAGAGGCCTGGTTATCTGAAGTGGATTCTCTCTTTTCTAGTGGATGCCGAACCTGCTGCCCCATTGACTAAGAAGGGGGCGGGCGCAGCAGCTACATGGACCTCTCCCTTTCTGTTGTTGCCAGCGCTTTCTCGGGCCAAACCAGAATTCTTTATGAGAAAGGGCAGGCAAAACCCGAAGACAGCCATCCTACCTAATACGCTAGCGGGCAGAACGAGGAGAGGGCCCGACAATCATATATATAAACAAAACACGTTTCTCTATTAAATTTGTAAACAATTTATATGAAAAGCAATAACATTACCAAAATGATTTTCTATATAAAGTCAAAAATTGAAAATTGAAAAAAAATAATTAATTCAAAATTATTTGAAATCCAATCTATATATTTCTCGCTTTTTTTTTACTAGATCGGTAAAAAATTTATATGAAAAAATTCTGATTTTCTATATAAAGTTTAAACTCACAATTTTTTGATGGGATATAGGTACTTTAATCTATTAAATTATGTTCGGATCTGACATATTTTAGTATTTAGACTTTCAATTATTATATTTTAGAGTTTTCAAAGTTTAAATTAAGAAGAAATTTTATTTTGTTCACCGTCATTAAATTTTTTAATATCCTATTCAAGAAAAAACTTGACATCGGACATTATTTATCCATTCAATAAATACATATACACGTTTAAAAATAGATTTAAATTTTCTGATAAATGATTAATAAAAAAATTATCAGCAAAGATAAAAACAATACTTTTTATAGAAAGTGGAAGGAGTAAAATAGAAAGTTTGGAAAGAAAGCCTAAAGATGAGGATAAAAAAGATAAAAATAAAAAGTTGGAGTCGAAAAATAAAAAAATTGGTTTAGTTTATTTATTATATTTTTTAATGTATGGCGTTTAATTTTCTGGCCTTTTTGGACATTTCCAGTTTTTCCAATTTCCAACAACCGTAAATACGCGGTCCGTTGTTCCCCCAATAAAATCCTCCGGCTCCGTTAGGGTTCTCCACCACTCCCATTTCTCTCTCTAAATCCTCCATTTTTCTTGTTTGTTTCTCTCTCTATGTTCTTCTCTCAGCTTCCTTCTTCCGATTCTCTCGAACTCCAATTTCTCGTCCTCTGATTCGGATTCTGCTGTTGATTTTGCTGTTTCCATCCAATTTGTAGCTCTTCCTGTTGATGTTGACAATGCCTGCCACCGATTTCCAGGGTTCTTCGTCGCCGTTAACCAGCATTGGGCGTTCGATTTTCAGTCTCCGGCGTGATCAGGTTCATTCCATGGAGGGCGGCTCCCACGAGGGCGTGCCGTTCGATTCGGAGCTCGATTCG